GCGACCCGCATAAACGCGAACCATAAATTGACCTTACCTAAAATGGTTAAAAATTGTTTATAATTCCTGCTAAACTTTAACTGAAATGGTTATGGAACTTTACATGAACGTTTAATGATAAAGTTTCAACCTTATGTATTATGGTTTTTTGGAACTGGACCTTACAAATAATGGGTTGTTAAGAACCATTACCATTCCAAATACTTGTTTTCTCCATACATTTTCGGAAAGAGAACTATATTAGAACCTTTTAACTTATGGTTTGAGAACTTTAATGGTAATGGTTATGGTAGTCAGTAAGGTCCACGAATGGTTTTGTAACATCGATCAACTTTATGTGGAATATATCGCGAATTGGTTGCCTGTAATTTACTGATTACCAATTCACGATATATTCCACGTAAAGTTGAGCGATAATACAAAACCATTAATGGACCTTACTGACTACCATAACCATTACCATTAATGTTCTCAAATCATAAGTAAAAACGTTCTTATATAGTTCTCTTTCCGAAAATGTATGGAGAAAACAAGTATTTGGAATGGTAATGGTTCTTAACAACCCATTATTTGTAAGGTCCAGTTCCAAAAAACCATAATACATAAGGTTGAAACTTTATCATTAAACGTTCATGTAAAGTTCCATAACCATTTCAGTTAAAGTTTAGCAGGGATTATAAACAATTTTTAACCATTTTAGGTAAGGTCAATTTATGGTTCGCGTTTATGCGGGGAATCATTGGAAAGTGTCAGGGCACAGGAGCTGGAGATGAGCAACAAGCATCCGCGTGGTGAACCCGGGGAATTTGAAGTTAGAAAAGTCGATAAATTCGTAGTGAGCAGGGACGGGCGCAAGCAGGAACGGATTGTAAAACGGTTCATAGGTAGAACCACTTCAGATAGAGCTGACAGGGATCAGAGAGTTGTATGCTATTCGTGTGGTCAGAACGGACATATTTCCAAAGATGCTGCGTGCCCTGCGAAAGGGCAAAGGTGCCGTAGGTGTCGGAATATTGGCCATTTCGAGAAGACATGTCGCAAGCGCCCACCGAAATTTCCGGAACATGCCACTACAAAGAAGGTCCGAGCAGTAAATGACGAATCGTCAACCACTGCCGCTGAAAAAGAGCCTTTTGTCGATGGTGTTGAGCAGAAAGTATATTATACGTTTCACACCGGAAATCTGACGAATTTGATTAAATGTGAAGTTGGAGGAATTCCTACCGAAATGCTAGTTGACTCGGGATCGGACGCAAACCTGATCACTGTTGGAACATGGGAAATGATGAAAGAAAAATGCATTATTGTGCAGAAGTGCACCAAAGGCAGTGATAAGATTCTAAAAGCGTATGGCAGCGATTTACCGTTAGTCATATTGGGATCATTTGTAGCAGTGGTTGAATTGATGAAACGATCTGTCCGTGCGGAGTTTTTCGTCATCGAAAAAGGACAACGTAACATACTCGGCGATGCAACTTCCAAACAACTCGGCGTGTTGAAGATAGGAATTGATGTTAATCAAGTACAGAATAAAGAGCCAACACCTACATTTCCAAAGATTAAAGGGGTACAGGTTCATATTCAGATGGATCCAACTGTCGTCCCTGTTTTCCAGCCGCTTAGACGAATTCCGATCCCGTTGGAGGACTCGGTTAACAAGAAGCTTGATGAACTTCTAGCAAGGGATATCATAGAGGCAAAGAAAGGACCAGCAACATGGGTTTCCCCTTTAGTAGTGGCGAGGAAATCTAATGGTGATATCCGGTTGTGTGTGGACTTACGGCGTGTAAATCAGGCCGTTATCAGAGAACGCCATCCAATGCCAATCATCGAGGATGTTCTGGCGAAGATAGGTAGAGGAAATATATGGAGCACACTAGATATCAAGGACGCGTTTTTTTTGCTAGAGCTGGACGAAGAATCGAGAAGTGTCACGACCTTCATTTCGCATCGAGGACTGTATCAGTTTAAACGTCTCCCATTCGGATTGGTCTCGGCACCGGAGATATTCCAGCGTACTATGGACGAAATCTTGGCGGGATGTGAGGGTACTTATTGGTACTTAGATGACGTTGGAGTAGAGGGAAGCTCTCTCGAGGAACATGACGATCGGCTCATGAAGGTATAATAGCTAATTTCGTTGGATTAATAATAAATGATAAATACACTGTTGTAACTCTAATGTTGTTTTTTTTTATTGTTATTTTATCATTGTTTGGTTTTAGGTATTGGACAGATTAAATGCAAGTGGTGTGGTATTGAATCGAGAAAAATGTAAGTTCCGGATAACTGAGTTCGAGTTTTTGGGGTACCGTATAAATGCAAAAGGCATCCTTCCCTCAGTGACAAAGCAAAATGCAGTGGCCACATTCCGACGACCAAGTAACAGTAGTGAAGTGCGAAGTTTTCTTGGGCTTGCAAATTATATAGGTAAATTTGTACCAAATTTGGCTACCATAGACGAGCCTTTACGAAATCTCATGCGAAAGGGGTCAAAGTTTCACTGGGGGGAAAAGGAGTAAGAGGTTTTCAATGAAATAAAAGCCAGCATTTCAAATGCAAGTTGCTTAGGGTTTTTCAAACCAGAAGATGAAACATCGGTTATGGCAGACGCGAGTCCACATGCGTTGGGGGCAGTTTTAATTCAAACTAATGATATGGAGGAATCACGAGTCGTATGTTTTGCGTCAAAATCTCTGACAGATACCGAACGGCGATACTGTCAGACCGAGAAAGAGACACTTGCGTTGGTTTGGAGTGTCGAGCGGTTCCAGAATTATTTAATAGGCAGAGAGTTTAATCTCCTAACGGACTGCAAGGCACTAACATTTCTTTTTTCACCTACATCGCGACCGTGTGCTCGAATTGAGCGCTGGGTGTTACGTCTACAAGGTTTTCAATATAAAATCTTACACATTTCTGGGACGCTCAATATAGCAGACGTGCTTTCTAGACTTTCTACAATCTCGCCCAAACCATTCGACGAAGCTGAAGAGCTAATGGTCCACGAAGTAGTTGAATCAGCCGTAAGTGCAATTGCTCTAAAATGGGACGATTTAGAGAAGGCCAGTCGTGAAGACACTCAAATCCAACAAATTTTTCAAGCTCTGGATTCTGGAATTGCTGACGAGGTGCCTTTAGAATACAGAATGATATTTCCTGAGCTATGTAGGCTGAATGATATGTTATTAAGAATTGACCGTATCATAGTGCCCCTAAAATTACAAAAACAAGTTCTTCAACTAGCACACGAGGGACATCCTGGAGCTCGAATTATGAAAGGGCATCTTCGTGCGAATGTTTGGTGGCCAAAGATGGACCAGCATGTAGAAAGATATGTCAAAGCATGCCGTGGTTGTTCATTAGTATCTTCCCCAAATCCTCCAGAACCAATGGTAAGGAAGCAGTTGCCAACACGTGCATGGGAGCAGATCGCGATTGACTTCCTAGGACCACTTCCGGACGGAGAGAATCTTCTAGTATGCGTAGACTATTTTAGCAGATTCGTAGAGGTCGTGGAGATGGGTGATATTTCAACGACTGCCACTATTGTTGAGTTGATGATTATTTTTTCCCGATTTGGAATACCGGAGAGTCTTAAAGCTGATAACGGTCCGCAATTTACCTCTGAAGATTTTCGAACCTTCTGTGAGGAGTATGGTATCCGATTAGTACACTCGATTCCTTATTGGCCTCAAATGAATGGGGAAGTGGAGCGCCAGAACCGCTCCATTTTGAAGCGTTTACGGATAGCGCAGGAATTGGGGAAGGACTGGCGGAAAGAGTTGAGGCAATATCTGCTGATGTACCACGCAGCAAGTCACACGACTAAAGGAAAGCCTCCATCGGAGCTCATGTTTGGACGTCGTATACGTACTAAATTACCGTGCATTTTAACCGCATCACAGGAATACGATGTCGTGAGAGAACGAGACGCTATTGAGAAAGAGAAAGGGAGATTGTATGCTGACAAGAAACGTGGAGCCACGGAAAGTGACTTACAAGCAGGAGATCGCGTGCTAGCGAAGCGTACCAGGAAGGAAAATAAGCTGTGTGCTGACTTTGCACCTGAAACGTTTGACGTTATCCATAGAAGTGGAGCTGATGTCACCATTCGATCAACTAAAACGGGAAAGGAATTCAGAAGAAGTTCAGCACATCTGAAAGCACTTCCCCGTGCAGAGCCTAACAAGACTGATCCACCAGAGGATACAACTTCGTCGGAGCCTCGTTTGGTGCGCAAGAGCAGCCACCGTGAAAAGGAGGATAATGATACTACATCGACATCAGACAAAATACAGACGGCAAATACATTAAGAAGAACTAGAGTAGAACCTAAACATTTCAGAGATTACGTAAGCTACTGAATAATTCGTTTAAAGGAAGAGGGGGATGTAGGGTTTGCGTTTATTACTTTTGAGTAAAATATATTGACAGTGTTATAAGTTAGGAACACCTTGGCCGAAAAGGTCTTGGGAAAAAAGGGAGGACGAGTGAAAACGATCGGACGAAGGGACGTGAGAAGAGATTGACGAGGTGAAGAATAAATATTGGTTGGCGTGAAAATCTAATCGAGTGGTTTTGAACAAATATTCCGAAACTGGATCTTCTTCAGTATCTACACTCTCTTCGGTCCCAAGCTAATCGATTCACCCCTCGAAACATATGAAAAACCAATAACCCCTCATTTTATCTGTCAAACTTTCATAGCGAATCAAAACAAACATTGCGTAGTACTAGAATTTCGACTAGAATAGGGTACGTTAATCGTTTGCTTGGGACCAATAGGCTACTAAAGTGGTGAGCCAATTTAAAATCGTTAGTTTCGTATTGATTGTTGTTATAACTCTGTAGTCTGAACGTACTATTATTCTTGTCCATATGTATTCTTGAGAATTCATCTGAGCAATTATTGACAAAAACAATTATTAAAAAAAAAATTGATTTCAAACAAAAACTTTTTTTTTTAATGTAGTCCATCTTTTGTTCTAACACTTTTATCAAAAACACATTTTTACAACGAAAAACCTTCTGGAACAGAAGGGGTTAAACAGCTACGTAAATAAATAATAACTTGTCTTCACAAGATTCTTGAAACTAAAATCTCGCTCTCAAAAAATCACGATCGATCTTCTCATGCATGCAAAAATAATATTACAAAAAAAAAAACAATAAATATTTTGAAATTTTTGATCACCTCTCGCATCGGGGCACGTTCACGCCCTACCCGTTATCACCACCAGCTGAGTCATCAGCTGATCGATGCCGATGTGTTAGTGCCATCCGAGCGTAACGCTCGCCACTTGACAACTGTTCGTTCGCTCCTTTTCCCACCCACTGCGCCCACAATGAATCGATCGCGTTCCGTTCCATTCGTTCAGTCTCGTTCTGGCAACCGCAGGTGTTCGAAGTGGGTTTGTTGTGCGTTCACGTATTAGTAGCAGCAGTAGATGCCAGTCAGTAGTAAATAAATAACAGCTTGCTTGCGACAAATTCGAACAACGTAGTAGTAGTTTTCACCATTATTCACGTTTAGTTTAGTGTCTAAAACGAATTAATCGCGTCAATGGTCGAAGACGTAGACAGCACAAAGAATCGAGACGCAGAAGACTGAGGAAAATATTGGTGAGGAAGTGGAGAACAAAATCTGTGTCGTGTTTTTGGGAAAAGGGATTCGCATGTAGCTACAAGGGCGCAATAGATTTGCGCAGTTTCATCATCCCATCGGAGAATAAGCTATGGCCCTCTGTCTGATGTCGGAAGGTGGTGCTCCGGAGAACTTCCACATTTCATTCACCAACGACGACAATGATTCCAATCTGAGCGCTAGCGCTACGCGATGTCCCCTGTGCAACTATTCGAAACGTCACTTCCATTGCAAAAATTGCATCCGCAAAGGAGATTTCATCCACTCAACCCATCACATACTGGAGAGGTAATTATATTGCATATGGCAGTGAAAGTTGATTGCATCGTATAACTTACTGACTTAATTGAATTTAAGATTCTCCGAGAAGCAACTTCGTTATAGGAATCTTAAATCCGCCCATGCCACTTTGGAGAGCAAATGTGTCAATTTGTTGCAACGCCGGAGGCTCAGCTGTCAGCTCCGGGCGGAAATCAAACAGCGGACGGAGAACATTAGCAATATTCGTAAATTAATGGCCCTCAAGCGAGAAAACGTAGGCCAGCTGCAAGCTCTGAAGAAGGAACTGAACGAATCCAATCGATTGCTTCGGATGAAGCTGCCTCGCTGCGACGACAAGGTCAAAATGATTGGCGATTACGTACTGTCCAAGTTGGAAGAAAGCGAACGACGTCGTACTAGTCTAACGGAATTACAGGACAAGTTGAAACAATTCAGGAGGGAACACATTGACAAGCTGATCCGATACATATTCCCCATCTCGCAGGCCATCAGCAACAGGGGTAGCTTTTCAAGTAGCGACGGGGAAAGTAATAATACGATCAATGAAATCTCAGACGCTACTAGAACGGCTTACGTCCGCGGCAAGTGGGTCCTACAGGATAGCTTTGGTGAAATCCAACACATAATAGTAGCTCCTGCTTTGCCGGGAAATGGAAACTATTCCGCTTATAACGACTGGGCAACGGTAAACCCGGCCACGGATGTGAGTTCCAGTGGAAGAAGCGAAGATGCCGTCCGTAATATGGCCAGCAGAAATCCTGCGCACACCATCGCTGCAGCGCTAACCTACACCGCTCAGGTGGTGCAGATTATGTGCTTCTATCTCGACATCCGTTTGCCGTACAAAGTATCGTACAGTGATTTCTGCACAACGGCGCTCTCGGAGGCACAATTCAATCGTAAAGTTGCTCGACTGAATGCCAACATTCTGTATCTGTGCTATACCCAAGGCTGTCGCTTGAACGAATTGCGCCCGACTCATACCCTTGAGAACGTTCAGCGGTTGATGAACTCGACCCATGCAGATTTGGGTCGATTCGGACCGATGGATAGGAACTCCTGCCTGAATGAGCCCGCGGATGCTGCCCTCACTCAACATCTCGGCATTGGCGAAGACTCTGATTCTGACGGTAACAAACCAATCACCGCAAACCTCATGGATAATTATTCTACTCAAATCATTTTACAACTTTCTAGACGAATCCAACATCCATCAGGAGTGGGAAGCACTTCCGAGCAATCTGTCTCCTCCGGTGGACGCTAATGTCCTGCCGCTGGCTGGAACAGCTGGCGGGAATCCACTGCCATACGGCAATACTCAACATTACCAGCAACAGCATCATCATCATCATCCGCACCATCAGGGTACGACAACTAGTTTGATGACGAGTGCGGTCGCTTCGGTGACTTCCTTCTGGAAGGGTTGGACCGGGGGGAAATAAGTTTAAGTAGCGAATTGGAACCTCAGTTCCAGCAGGAAGACAAGGTAAAGTGAATTAGAAATGTGATACGTGACTAAAGAGAATATGCGAACGCGCTGGTTAGCATACAGGAGTTTTCGGACGCATGCAAGCAGATGTTCCGGACGAATGCAAGGTAAATAGTTGTAACCGTTTGGGCCGCTAGTATAACCTTAACAAACTTTTATTTTTATATCGCGAAAATTCTAATAAAAGCGCATAGTTTGCATTATCTAAAGCTACTAAATTGAACGGATGATGAAAGCATTATTTTTTATTGTTCCGAAATTTCCAATGGTAATACGAGGACATCTAAGCGTCACGGATTGTATGAAATTTAATTATGTAGATCTCCATTACCAGCGCTAAAATTAGGCCAATACATTTATGACTATGTTTGAAAAGAACGGTGAGCATAATAATTGTAAGATGATGCGCTAGATCTACTATCACACTATACTGGTGTGAGAAAGAATTCTAGATAGAGCTGTTACAGCTTTTGTAAACAATGACTTCTCTCGATGATTTCTAGGAATTCAAAGCGCGCCCTCGCAAACCAACATAACCTTCGGATAGGGGAAGTCTTCCCCTACCTGATGGTGATATTGAATTGCTTGAGCCTTGAGTTTCTAGAAATCATCGAGAGAAGTCATTGTTTACAAAAGCTGTGACGGCCTAATTCCAGCTCTATCTAGAATTTACTGAGGGTGCTTCTCGAACTCTGATCAGGCGGTTCGATACTACCTTTAAGTTTAACGCATTTGTATGTTCGATCGAGGGAGTAATGTTCTTCAGGCGGTTCTTAAAGAGGCATACGCTGCCCATAATTCCATATCAGTCCCATATGGAAAAACTAGGCAAGTGGAAGTTACGAAGTGCGATTCCCATGTAAATATTTGAAAAATCATAGTTAATTTATTAATTTTTTGATCATTAAAAAATCAGTTGCATTAAAGCTTGCATGTTTTGTTATATCAGTGGAAAATATGGTAACTCGAAAATCAAAACTGTAACTTCACCTCTGGACGATTTAAATTAAGGATGGGACTGATATGCAATTACTTTGCTTGATGGGACAAACTGACTTGATGTTGTTTTCACCTTTTTCATAATCAAAGTCCGTAGTTTTTTCACGTAATATGAAAGTAGATGCCAATTGATAGCGTTGTTATCTCAAAATTGACGAAAATCCATATGGGACTGTTGAGGCAACGGCTCGGGAGTGACAGGATGTGGCCTTCAGGGGACCCTATTTTTTGTCAGCGATTCACCAGCACTCGGTTAACTGGTCATCCAACAAGCCAAACTTTTAACGGCATAATCACACAACTTTTATTTGCTCCTACGGTCGTTTAAGATCTAGGCGTAAGTTTTAGTTTAGTTTAGTTCTAGTTTTAAGATCACGTAAGCTAAAAGCATTGCAGAGTGAATTCAGAGAGTACTCTGTAGAAGATTTTCAAGAGCAGTGATGGAAAAAATGCAAAATCAGGAACGGCCGAAAATCACTGCTGATCTTGAGATCAGCCAAATCATAAACAGAAAATCATGACAGTCAAAGTAAGCATCTAAACCCATGCAATCGGTATCTATGGAATGGGCTCGATGAGTAGAAGCAGTGCTGTGCATTATCATAACAGTTATTGTACTTTGACGGTCATCCTCGCATAACCGTCACATCTCAGAAATGACGGTCAGCTAGCATATCACTTGGAAACACCTCTACCTCACTAGACCGTCTTCATAAAAGCCATCCATGACAGTTAGATTAAATGACAAGGAGAGAGTAGTAAAATCATTCTCTCACTGATCATCTCTGTTGGGCATTTATAAGTGGGAAGTGAGAATAATGCTCCCTCATTTTCCTGTTCTAGCTAAAAGTTGTTGATTTCAGAACAAACGAAACATTTTGACGAAAACGTTGGATTTTCATTTTCCTTGTAACAAATAAATATGTGGGTGCTATTACGTGACAATTTCTAAAAATATCCGTTTATCTTTAAAAATTCAATTTCTTAACATGCAAATTAAAGCCACTTTCACTTTTTTTAATGATCCATCGGCAATATCAATTCTCTTTTACGTACGCGTCATTGTTTACGATCCTTAATAAATCTAAAAACTGGCACAACTCACAATTGAAAAGCTCATGAGAATTGTACTGTCAAAACAAATATCTTTTCAACGTTATTACGTTTCGTGTGAAAAGTGAAACGAAAAATCTTAATTTTTGAATTGCTCCGAAAAATTGCAAGAAACATCATGGAATCAACAGGTGGAACTTCGACAAATCAGTGCGAACCGAACTTTTTGTCAGTGCAAACCTCAACCTGAGCTGGGTTTTAAAAGCAAATGATCAAACTGACGTCTGTCCGAAAACAAGCAGATCCAATCTTGATACCCGATCCAGGTTGGAACTGAATAATAAACGAATTCGCTATTAATTTTAGCGAAGATTTATTAAAATACATTGCGTTCCCTTACGGACATCAAAGTAACAATTTGAAGTTTTCTTTGTTGATGGATACCAATAATGGTTGCTTTGATTGCTAGCCATAATTCCAATATTAAGAGGGGAACTCCTATTTACGCAAGGATTTTTTATTGGTTTTGCTTTTTAGGGATCCCTTGATACTTGGGCTTCGGTAATGTGGATACGATACGCGGTCAGGATCCTTATTCGTGGAGCTCAAGCGTCACGGTATCCGAAAAAATGAATAGCTGCAAAATCCTTACTCCCCTATAAAGTGTACCCCGTATTCCCCTAATATCTCATGAATTGTTGTTTGAAGACATAGTATTCTAAAACCATGCATAAAGTGCTTATGTTTTACGAAAAATAGAGCTGTAAAAAAACATTTCCTCCAAAAAGTAGGGGGAAATGGGGTAAAATGGTCCAAAACATATACCTACAAGGCTCTCCGGTCCATGGAATCACATGCAATCGATTCCCCGGAAGATTTCCTTTCGGAAAAGTCGTTTTTCATGGCCGGAATTCAGCGTGCTGTTGAGATATTGAATTTTGGGTAATTTTGGACCCATTTTTGCCCATAGTGTGCCGGCTTCCAATTGTAGGAAAACTGTGCAATAATGCCAAATATCCTTCATTATGGGTATTTTTGAAATCAGGATGACGTATAAATACTGGAAATCAATGTCTGACGCCATTTTGAAATCCAAGATGGCGGCTTCTGGTTAGATTAAAACTGGGAAATAATGCCAAATATCCTTCAATATGGGTATTTTTGAAGTCAGGATGACGCATATATACCGGAAATCAATGTCTGACACCATTTTTAAATCCAAGATGGCGGCTTCCCTTTATAGAAAAACTGGGAAATAATGCCAAATATCCTTCCACATGGGTATTTTGGAATCTGGATGACGTCTTGAGACCGGAAATCAAATAGCAAAAGCAAAATAAAATGCTGAACTACTCGATGGTGCTAATATCGTCAAAAAAATCTAAGTGTGTAGGAGACGACGTAAAGAGGCTGAAAATCGATGTCCAACATCTTATTGCATTACAAGATGGCAGGCATTGGCTTTTAAAAACTTGTGAAATACCTTACAATATGAGTATTATCACCTCGGAAATGACGCGTGTAGGCCGAATATCGATGTACAACGCCATTTTTGAATGCAAGATGGTGACCACCTGTTTTAGAAAAAGTGTAAAATATTATACCACAGACAAACAGACATAACACTCGCAAGTTGTTCATCGAACAAGCATTAAACGGTCCATTTAAAAGTATCGTAGTTGGTAGCACCGCCACCTGTGGCGCGCATAGTCAATTCCCTTGCGTTTGACGTTTGCACACTACCGCCATCTGTTCAGCGTACTACCCACCACAGTGTATTCAACAGATGGCGGTAATGTTTTAGCGACGATGTTTTACAGTGAGAAATATTCAATGTGTTATGTCTGTTTGTCTGTGATTATACGATATGGTCGGCATCGGGGATTCCATAATGGCTTCGGACATCAATTTTCGGCATCTACACGTCGTCCCTATTTCAAAAATACCCATACCCATTGTAGGGTTTTAACCATTTTTTTTTAACCCAATGGCCACCATATTAGATTCCAAAACGGCAACGGACATTCATTTTCGGCATCTACACGTCTTCTTGGTTCCGAAAATACCTAAATTGTAGGGTGTTTGACCCATATTGAAGGGAATTTGCTAGTATTTCCCAGTTTTACTACAACCGGAAGCCACCATCTTGGATTTCAAGATTGCGTTAGACATTGATTTCCAGTCTCTATACGTCATCCCGATTCCAAAAATACCTATATTGAAGGATATTTGACATTATTTCCCAGTTTTTATACAGCCGGAAGCCGCCATATTGGATTTCAAGCTGGCGTCAGACATTGATTTTCGGTCTTTATACGTCATCTCGATAGCAAAAATACTCATATTGAAGGATATTTGACGTTATTTCCCAGTTTTTATACAACCGGAAGCCGCCATATTGGATTTCAAGATGGAAAATTGAAATCCGCTGCCATTTTTGAATCCAAGATATCCAATATGGTATTTAAAATAGTAGCTTTGGAACTTGAAAACTTTTCTTTTCCACTAATCTTGGATCAGTGGACCGTCGACAGCGTCAGTCGCTATAAATCAATGGAAACGCATGGTAGTCTTGTCGCATAGGAGTATTGAGCGAAAACCCAAAACATGATAACTTCAAAAAAATATAACTCAAAAACAAACAAAAAACACATCGCTGATTTTTTTATAAGTTGCGTAAAAAGCTTATATTTTCAAGGAAAAATATAAAAACATATTGCGCCCTCTGTCTACAAATCATGAAAACTATAAAACAAATACAATCAATGTTTTTCAGTACAAAATCCGATTTTTTTAATATCAGTATATTTTTCGTTAAAAGTATTTTTAATTACCTTTCATTTGATATTTTCGTCTTTGAAATTGGTTGAGTGGTTCAAAAGTTATGATTTTTTTTAAGAAAATCGTTTTTTGAACCACCCTAACATGGAAATAGTCCCTCTAATGACAAAATAAAAAAGGGGTCTAATATGATGCGATAAAGAACAAAACTACCAATTTTTACGAAATTCTAAGAACCACTATATCGTTTTGCTATGAAAAAAAATCATAACAATAACACGGAGAACAGACGTTAAGACTCGAAACAAATTTTGGAACAAACTGGTGTAAAGATTCCTATTCAACTTAAGCCCCACCAACGCCGACATACTCACATAAAAACCTTTTCTGACAATATGATGGTGCTGGCGTTGCACAACTTACACTAGACTGGTGTGTGCCGGTAGCGCTGAGTGCAATTTTCAATAGAAAATTTATCGACACAATTTGGCGCAAGAAATTGGTGGGCGTTGGCCAAATTTGGATTTTTCAGATATAATCCTAAATAGGACCTATAGATTAACCTCAAGTCCGTGCTCTGTCACAATGTTTCATTGTGATTAATCAACACTCAAAGGGGTAAAATATAAAATTTCGGGTGAATTTGAAAGAAAGGGAACTTGGAGTGTAGAGCGCACTGGACGATTCTGAAGCCTGGCCAAGTGAGTGGGGTATGGGTTTATTTGATTAAACGTCATTTCCAATGTATATATTGATACATTTAAACCATTGGCATTTGAGATAAGACAGAGATAGGATGGAGGGCCCGCTTAGGGAGAGCGTAACCCATGTTATGGTTTCCATTTATTAAATAGTTCAGATAGGCTAGAAATGACAGGTTCATAGTGAGAAAATGTACCATATGGGGCCCGTTCACTGATCAACATCAAATTCACATCGTCAGGCCCTGCCCAAGAATAAGGGGATTGACAATGATTTGTCAAGTTTTATTTTGCATTTTGCATTTAATACTCTAGTAAATCTCACGTCCGTGCTGCATCACAACATTGTGATGTGTCAATACTCACTGGGTTATATGTCTTAGACAAGTTCCAGATTAGTTTCCTATTAATATCTTTTGCATCGCAGTTCGCGAGAGATTACTAATAGCGAATTCGTTTATTATTCAGTTCCAACCTGGATCGGGTATCAAGATTGGGTCTGCTTGTTTTCTGACAAACGTCAGTTTGATCGTTTGTTTTTAAAACCCAGCTCAGGTTGAGGTTCGCACTGACAAAAAGTTCGGTTTCGCACTGGGTTGGAACTGGTTCCAACCCCGATAATAAACAAATTCGCTATAAATATGGGTTCTCTTTTCCGACCATAATAGTGTGAGGGAAGGGGGTGAGTTAAGCGAGCGAAATAGAGGCAAATAAATAGGGAAGACAACACCATGACCCAAATAAGTAACCAATGCATGCGGCTCACACTTAACTTGTTCTATTTCTTTCTTTCTTCCTATCATGTACTAATATTAACTGCCTGAGGACAAATGGGAACACGACCAGAAGTTCAATAGGAGGAAAGTTTGAACAAGAAAAGAAGAATTAGACTTGCACCGGCAAGAGGAAGCAGACAGAAAGGATCATGCCGGTTGGAGATGTCGTGACCGGACTCGATTTCTGGACCATCTATTTCCAAGCGGCTTTATCTGGAACCTTCTTTCTTTTTTTCTAGTTTTCACTAAACAGACGACTTTTTATTTTTTGCTTCCGTTCGTTACGAACTCACTCTTAAGACTCCTTTATTGTGTCCTTTTTATCAACTAACCTACTATTGATCTCTAATGAATTGTTATAACCGATATATTAGTCCTATTCTCTACAGGAGACAGCCAATGTGTACTGGACGAAGCTTGTATCTAGGAAAAATCGTATGTGCAGGAAACCAGCAACACGGGAATACAGAAAACGTCCCCAATGGAAATTGTTGCTGGCAGTGTACTGGCAGCCGAAAAACAATATAAAAATAAAAATAATATACAACCGACAATACCACATGTGAATCAAATTCATCAGTACGTCACAGCAAAGGCACGGGGGCTTATGGCAGCAAAACCCCAACAAGGAAATCAAGCAAACCAATAGGAATTTGACCTGGGCCCAGGTCAAGCAACCGCTCAGAATGGAGGTTTCTCATGTTGGCCCTCTGCATCTCTGGAGGTTCCCAGGATACTTGAGTGAGTGAGCACGTGAAGAGGGACGTAACCAGCAGGAGCGGGAATGAAAGCCGACATAGCTCATGCAGAACAACAAGTCGGCGTGGTGTTTTTGTTCTTCTCTTTTCAGAAAAACAACAAATACTCTATCGCTCTTCTCTATTCTTTTATTCTCTTACTATATCCTACAAATCTGAAGCTAGTGGGACTGCCTACGGGAGCAACAGGCCTGCTGGTGGAAGAAAGTCGTTATGTTATACGACCAAAATTTCCGTAGGTTCACACCTAGTTTAAGTACAATTGGTCGGAAGTGGACAATTTATAGAGGAAACCAGGAGAAGCTAGCGCCACGTAGCGGTGATGTTCCAACTTAACTTTACACTAGTTTCTAACGGAAGTTGGACGTCCGTTCTCTGTGACAATAAATAGTTCCTTTCGCATTGAAACTCCCCTTTGCTTAAAAATGACCAAGCAAGCAGTTCTTCCGCAATCGCAATAACGAAGTTGCGCGAACTTTCAGATTCGTTCGGAAATCAGATTCACGCTGATCTGGCCTTCGGTATTTGTTATGCTCATAAGAACATGGAAGCCCCGATAATTTCAAATCATATTGGTAGAAAAACAACAGAGATTGATCCTTAATATTGACGAAAAGATTTGAGATGGTTCCATTGTTCTGAAACGTACTGTTGTGTTACAAGTACCCAACATTAAAATTATGTTAAGTGTAATAATGCCAAACCTGAAAATTGCGTGTCTTTGCTGCGACTGCATCACTCTATGTTCAAAGGCGACTTTTATAAAAATGAATGTACCTAAAATGTTATTGCGTACGATCATAGTTGGGGACCTCTAGTATCATAATACATTTGGATTTTTCCAAAAATATTAGAAAACAAAATATTGAAAGTTTTTCGACAGGTTCTGAGGAAAATTTACGTGGTAAAACATTTTTTCCCATGTACCACAAATTCACAGAATTGTTGAGTAATCTTCTTTACCAGGGTTGCTTCCACTCACTTGCTATAAAAACATATTATTCGGAATTATGCAATAATTAGAGAAAAGGGTTTAAAGTATGTGTTTGACTCATAAAACCTATCAATTTTGCTTTCAGAACGTCACAATAAGCGATCTTATGATTCGTGAGCGTTCACTCAGAGTGAACACTCACGAGTCGTAAAATTGCTGATTGTGACGCACTGAAAGCAATATTGACAGATTTTATGTGTCTAACACATACTTCACGTCCTCATCTTGTAACTTACAAGTACTAATTATCACTATACCATCTCATGATTTCATAATTCTGAAAAACATTTTTTTATAGCAAGTGAGTGGAAGTAACCCTGTTCTTTACAACCAAATGCTATTGATAATATCACACAAATTTGCTCCACATATTCAATAAAGTCTTTACTTTTCTGTTTCAGCATCGTAGGTGAATGTAATACGGTTGTGTAAATATCACACGATTTCTAGCAAAATTAGGTAAGTCTGTCATTTTTGCTTCTTATCTCTTCCAGCGCGCTTCGAATATTTGTATAATTAACACCAGTTGCTCACCGATTCATTGTTTGATAGTCTATATTGACACTTCCTCCACTATTAAGATGCTATCCCCAAACAGCTTAATTCACTTCACTTGAACAACGTTTCTTTCTTTCTCTTTGAAAAACTGTATAATCCACTATTGGTCAGACGTCCACGTTCTCCGAATCTAACTCTCAACTGATCACATTCGGCGATGGGATGCGCTCTTTATTCCAAATAGTTCTGCCTGTCTGATAACAGCTCTCACTATTACAGTACATACCCGTTTGAAATCACTCGAAAACCAGTCCGTCATCGCGATGAACAAATATTTTTCTCCTTCGACGATGGGCCTTCGAAGGGTGGCATGACGCGCGGCATCGATCGATTATCATCGCCGAACGGAATGGAAACTAACTCGATAGAGAGCTACAATACGCCGGGAACTTAACTTGTTTTTCGATCGCCTACCCACTTAGTCGCTTGAGATGGTGTGAGTGTCGATGCACTGGATTTGCATCACAAAGTGTGTTGGTTGACCATGATGCTACCTATTTACTCCACATACCGGCTGCTGATATAAGGTTGAGGGTGTGTACGGTACAGGCCTTGGTAACTGGAAGTCCTCCTCAGTATACCCAGGAAATAGTTGTATCTTGATCTTGTTGACAACAAAATCAATTGAAAGGTCCTTGAACTCGGTCACTTGCGCAGGATTTCAATTTATTCGTTTGAGCGACTAGGTGTGGGTCAATTTGCAAGCATGGTTGGAAGTAATTCAATAGCGGTTGTTAGTCGCTAGGGATTGAATAATTGCCTCAGCTGATTGTTACAACAAGTGGTACAAATAAACAAAACAACCGCATTGGAAGTCACTGCACACGCTATCACGGTGTGAATGCAACGCGGTGATGCAATTTTGAACTTTCTTGGAAGAAAGTTTCCTTCAGATCACCATGATAATCACAAATCACGAGTAAGAATGCATGTTGTCATTTTCATTGGTCTAATTATGAACAAAATAGTAATTCTTTTCTCGTGATTTGCACATTTTATGTAGAACGCTAGTCCGCAACACAGAAGTCATTTACTTGCAGCTGTATTGCAATGCTTATCGCAGCACGCTGTGTTTTTTTTTCATGCTTCGCACGCTTTATTGTTGTTATTTACAGCAAATCACATGCCAGGCCTGCTTAGTGATACGCGGGTTTTCTTTTTGTTTTGCCAATGGTCAATCCCGATAGTTATTGCTACGTAACTATTCTTGCTTTTGCTCGGGCTATATTGTTTATGATTAGACAAATGTATCAAATTTCACTCCGTTAGTACATTAAAGGGATGATTCAATCGAATCCAATCGTTGCAAATACTTTATGAACGCGTCCACGTTATTCGAGGGGGGCATCGGAATCATTTTTGTTTACTGTTTGTTAATTTGCACAAACAATCTTCCCGCACATGTGCTCTTCCTATAATCATTATCATCGGCGAGTGACACCATTGCTTTAATGTACTTACTGTCGTGGTTTCCTTTGATGGGGCGATAAGCAGCTGTAGATGTTGTTGATGGCAAATCGCCGATAGAGTCGACACTGCATTCACCTTTCAGTACACTTGATCGTGGATCTCCCGGAGCGTGGCTGCATACGCGTTTAGTCTACGGCGTGACCCACTATATGACTGCAACTATCAGCAGCAGGATGAGTATTGCACTCTCGTTTTGTCGTAGTCTACGCGCGCACGATCACGATCAGATGTTTACAAGCTCTGCCAATCAACTGGACAACACACGCCACTGTCTCGGATACCAATGCTCTTAAGTGAACCCCACACGTATCAATATATTGAAGCGAAGGGGAATTATTGACATTAATATTGATGATGTGAATACAGAAATATTGTCAATACCGATGTATTGACGTCAATATTGAATGTATTGACAATACGATTATTGTCAATAAAAGCAATCGTGTACGGTCCACTTTAGATGTAGGTTCTGCTCAGCTGCAAAACAACACTTCACACTACTTGACTTCAGTCCGGTCCGCAGTGTATAATTTTATCCTACACAGTGTGATTGAGGGACAAGTTCGCGGTTGACAGCACACACAGGCGTTTCAAGTTCACGAATGTATCCATGATGTACTACAATGAGTTGATGAAGGGTGTAACTATGTGCACTCGTTTCAAAACACAAATGACGCGATCGAAACCTATCAAACATTGAAAACAAACGTAGTAGGACTAAAAGTCCGAACAACCAACAAGTTGGTTCAGAAATTTTCCGAATTTACATATAAGGAGCAAAGCTATAACTGTAATCGAACGTTCCGTTTTTCTATTTGTTTCTCAAGAATCAGACAACGTCAACAATGTGAATAACGTGCAACCCACGTTATTCACATTGTTGACGTTGCCTTTTAAACGTGACGTAGTAGTAGGGGAGGCAAAAATCAAACAATTCTTCAAGCATATCTTTTCAAAAGGACGTATGTAACATTTGATAGAAAATTAGAAACATCGGATAGCAATGACCAAATGAGATTATTAAATCCTATTTGAAAGTTAATTTTTTTTTTATAATCTGTTTCTGCTATTAGTTGGATAAAGGGAAGCCGTTTAAGAGAATTATGAAAAATGTTGAGTTTTTGCAAACACGGACAAGACTTTTGATAAAACAAAATGATACACCTTTTCCTTGTTTGCTACTCACATACACCTTGATTGATTCGTCGGTATCACATCTTGATTGTCGATTTGACAGATCGGTAGCACATGCGTCAAATCAGATACACCGGTTTATGGTTTGCAGTGAAGATACGTCGATAACTCGGAAAGAATTTAGGATACTGTCTGTTGCGCTGGGAATATGTGCCGAAGCAAACTGTAGTGACTCTACTAAAACAAATATTTATAATATTTATGTTTTTTTAAACATACCTAGCAGCAGCTGAATCCCGTTAAAATGCAATTTGTTTCTACTTATAGCGAATTTGAATGTTATCGTCTGAAACCGAACTTTTTGTCAGTGCTAACCTCAACCTGAGGTACACGGTAAGAAAAAAGTACCCAAAATTGAGTTCCTTTCACTCATCACGTGGCTTCCGTGGGGCTAGGTAAAATTAAGTTAAAGAAGAAAACTCAATTTTGAGTAATCCTGGCGTTGACCAAGTTGACAAAAAAATAATAAAACGGAGCAGACTGGAAACGAACCATGGACGTTGAGATTACGGGGCCCGTGTGTTGACCACTCGTCTATCAACGCTTGTGAAAATGAAATGGTTAAAGGCGCATAAAAACAACCTCAATGAAAATAAACTTATATTTGAGCTCATTTATTATTACTCAATAGTTGAGTAAATTTTAACCAACGCCGCTTTTCTGATTCACTCAACGGCGGACCTCAAATGATAGAATCCAACGTTGAGTTTTTTTTAACTTAATTTTGAGTATTTTTTCTTACCGTGTAGGTTTTAACAACAAACGATCAAACTGACGTTTGTCAGAAAACAAGCAGAGCCGATCTTGATACCCGATACAGGTTGGAGCTGAATAATACACAAATTCGCAATTAGAAACAAGTTGACGCTTCTGCTGATTGAAAATGGTTGCTTTGTTTTTTTTACATCTGACGTTTCGCTGTGAGCATATCTGCAGTTTTTGTGTTATCCTCATATTTTGACAGTTAAGTCACTTTAAAAACAATGAAAAACAATGACCCACATAGGGTGTTCATTAAATATGTTTTTCATAATTCATTAAAATTTCAAATCTTGTTTTTCATGAACTCCTAGGAAAAGCATGTATTTTATAATCGGTTAGAAGCAAAACATCGATTTGTTTATTTTTGCGACTTACGTCCTTTTAAAAAGTTATGCTTTGCTTATTCATTTATTCAAGGACATTATTGATGGAATCCATTTTCCATTCAATTTGTTCTACCACTTCGCATTTTCACGAGCACACATCTGGCGATCTACTTATTGGACAGAGTTCAAAATGAATCTACATGTATACTGCAGAAAAGCAAGCATTTCATTTTCAGATCTGTATGACTTCTGGATGGCGAGATGAGTGCCAGTGGAAACGCAAAGTGGATGGATTGCATGAACTTTCACCTTAAGTTTCTATAAAATTTTAAACGAATGCACCTTCGAATCAACCCTGTGGAAAGTTATTAGCATTATTAGCAAATAAATATTAACAAGCTTGATGGAAAATTTACAATTGTAACCGAAGGCGAGAATTCTATTAATTTAGCCTCCCTAGTTGGAGAAACATACATCGACCATCCTACGTACGTTCATGCTTTTAGGTATTCATTGGCTGCGACTGCGCCGAGATAATGTTGTATATTCCTTCCGAATTAGCCCTGACGACATTTGCGTAAGCAACTGCATGCTCGCTCGAGTGTCGTTTACCTATACCTATACTTCACCGCTTGGATTGTAACACAACTAATCGAAGTTGGATGGCTGGGTGTTTTTTTCCACAGTGTACTCGAGTTTCAAACTCAGGGTGACCAGTGAATCGGAAAAACCGGGAAAAATACTTTGTTCTGTCTTCGATAATTTATGATTTTGAACCTTTGATTTTCAGGACACACAGAACTAAAACCAACAATTTTGACACTTTTTCAAAGCAATTTTGAGCAGATTTTAGAATGAATTCTACAGATAACACCAAAGTATTTCAGGGAAAATGTCATAAAGAGATTTGAATTAAATCTAAGCGGTTTTTGACTTGAACCCCTAGTCAATTGTTTGAGTTTAGAGTAAATTTAAGTAGCTATTTGAAAAATTCCATGGCGATTATGAAGAGGTTTCCAAGATCCATGAAACATACCAAGGGAATTGAATTTTACGGGTACAATTCCAAAGAAATTGTGCGAAGAGTTTTAAGGAAATTCTGAGGATGATTTCAAGGACATTGTCGTGACCGGACCGAGGTTTCCAGCCTCGGCCACGGCAACACGAATTAGCGATGCAGCTCCCACGGGTGCGGCTGCTTCTATTGCTGCTGCTGCTGCTGTTTCTGCTGCTGAGGTTTCTGTTGCTGCTGTTTCTGCTGCTGCTGGTGGTACGTCACCTCCAAAATTCGTTACAAGATTGACTTCAACGAGTTTTTACTTAAACCTAAAATGATCTTTATTTCTTGTGTTTGTGTGGTTTACATTTATGAATTTTTCAAGTGACACAGATGCGTCTTTTCAACTTTAGTTCATTTGAGATTTTAATTATTATTTACAGTTACTAGTCCTATCAGGCCTATTTTAAAGTATGACCACCTTGGTGGGATTGGTTTGATTTGAATTGGAAAAAGGAGACTACTTATAACTACTACACACAGAGAAATGATTTTTAAATTCAAATGGATATATTTTTGGCTCAGGGCCTAATATATTTTTGGTATTGATTCAAATATATTATTCGGTTAATTCAAAGAAAAATATTTTTGAATCAACAAACCGGTTGTAGAGTCAATAATCTGTTTGTTGATTCTAAAAACCATTTTGTTTATTCAAAAATATGTTTCGTTGAAATAGTGATACAATATGTTTGAATCAATAACAAAATACATTAGGCCCTGAAACAAAAATCCATTTTTCTGCGTGTATTTACAACTACAACTAACCTACAACTACTATATACACCTAACCTACTATATACAAATTGCTTATCAAAGCATGTTCTGATAAATTACATTTTTCTGCAAATTTAGTCTTAATTTCGTTAATTCTTGAATCTATTTTGGCAATTCCTGCCTCTTCGTGCAAACTTGTTATTCTAGTGTCGAAAGGGCGATCAAGAACCATCCTCAGCACTCTATTTTGTGCGACCTGAATTTTGTTCCTGTGAGTTTGTGCACATGATTCCCACACAGGAGCTGCGTAGAGTATCGCAGGTGCTATGATTTGTTTGTAGACGGCCAGTTTGTTTACCCTTGAGAGACGAGATCTGCGGCAAATCAGTGGATACAGACACCTAACCAAGGCAGAACACTTGACTACTGTTTTCTCTACATGCGAACGGAAGAGGAGCTTTTCATCGAACAACATCCCGAGATAGGTTACTTCGGCAGACCACTCAACCCTTGTGCCATCCATGATTACAGTACAAGATGGAGCCGGTTTTAGTTTGGGCGATTGCCGATGGAGGAACATGATCGCTTGTGTTTTGGAGGCATTGATTTTGATTTTCCACGTGGTGGCATAATCAGCAAAGGCGTTAAGGCATCGTTGAAGTTTGTTCGTTATTTCACGAGGCATCCTTCCTTTGACGGCTATTGCGGTATATCTGCGAACAGGAAGAACACGCAACCGTCTCCGAGGGGAGGAATGTCGGAAGTATAAATGCTGTAAAGCAAGGGGCCCAGCAGACTGCCTTGCGGGACACCTGCTGGGATGGAAAACGTGTCTGAAAGACAACCATTCAACGATACCTTAAACGACCTTTGCTGGAGGTAGTTACGGGTAATTTTAACCAAATGTAAAGGAAAGTTGAAGTTACAAAGCTTGTACACAAGTCCATCATGCCAAACATTGTCAAACGCCTTTTCAACGTCTAACAAGGCCATGGCTGTGGACTTGGATACAGCTTTGTTACTTCGGATGTTATTCATCACCCGTACTAGCTGGTGATTGGTAGAGTGCCCCTTTCTGAATCCAAACTGTTCCGGAAGGAGAATGTTATTTTCCTCCACAAACTTGAGCAAACGATTGAGAATGAGTTTCTCGAACAATTTGCTCAGCGCTGAAAGGAGGCTGATTGGTCTGTAGCTTGAAGACAATGTTGGATCCTTACCGGGTTTGCGGATTGGTATGATTTTTGCTACTTTCCAGGTGCTTGGAAAATAGTGCAGTTAAAAAAATTTGTTGAAGATAGCGGTTAGGAGAGACTGCACTTTCATGCTGAGTCTCTTCAAGATCAAGTTGAATATTCCGTCAAACCCGGGGGCCTTTATGTTCTTGGTGCATTTCAGCGCTGAGCAAATTTGTTGTACTGTAATCATATCCGCCGGAGGCACGACACAAGGGGAGGCATCTAGGTTTTGAACGCTTTGCGCAACCTGATCATCGAGCGGACTTTGGATAGTCGAGCCAAGCAAATGCTATGAAGCAACATGCTTACCGATCGAATTTGCTTTCTCCTGTGGGGTGA